CCATTATTTTTTTATTATAATCACCAACATTTTCCAGTTTTTGAATTTAATTCGTGTTGAATAGGCTAAAATTCGTCAGAGACATTTACTTGATGTAAAATATAAAAACGTCACATTTTGGCGGGTCCGTTTGCCTCATCCAGGAATACTATCTGGAATTTCTGGAAACACCGTCTTATGCACCAAGGACTGCTCTTTCCGATAGATAAAACGAATTTTATATTAAACGCGAATTAAGGTAGAAATCGCACCCCAAATTGGAGCCTACTTTCGGTAAAGTATAAAAACGTCACACTTTAGGTGCCGGTTTCGCTCCTACAGGAATACAATCTGGAATTTCTGGACAGACAGTCTTATGCGCCAAGGACTGCTCTTTCTGACAGATAAAACGAGTTTTATATTAAGCGCGAATTACCGTCGGAATCGCACCCCAAATTGGAGCCTACTTTCGGTAAAGTATAAAAACGTCACATTTTAGGGGCCGGTATGGCTCCTACAGGAATACCATCTGGAATTTCTGGACACACCGTCTTATGCGCCAAGGACTGCTCTTTCTGATAGATAAAACGAATTTTATATTAAACGCGAATTAACGTCGGAATCGTACCCCAAAGTGGCGCCTACTTTCGGTAAATTATAAAAGCGTCATATTTTGGTGAGCCGGTTTGACTTGATTAACATTAAAATTACAATTTTATGAAAGGACACTTTTTTAAAAGCTTCCCTATACCAATAGATATTCAACAAATTGAGATGTTGATATTGTTAAAAAGTAATAAATTTTAAAACTCATAAATACAAACGTAAAATTGCTAGATATGTACGTATTATGGTTATTTGACTGAGGGCACAAACATGTACGAATTGTAATTAGGAAAACTTTGTACTTTGTATCGTAAACTTTAGTAGAAATTGCGTAGGTAGATGAGAAACAGAGAATATTTCATTTAGCTACTTTATTTAGCTCGTAGCAAGAAAAACAGAAATTGTAAACAGCTCCTTTCGAAATTATATTTTCTACCATAAAATTGCGCCAAGTGCGAACGAAACAGCTGCTTGGTAAAAGATTAATTTAAATCTTTCCACTGCGATACTCTGTCCTTTCGCGTGAGCAGATAGTACGCGGCGGTGATCGCGTTTCCTTCGATTATAACGTGATTAATTTTTTCCGACGTTACATAGTAATACTCGCTCGACAACACTTCAGCCGGCTGCTTCTTATTAAAAGTTCTTGTTTCTTCTTCGGTTATAAACAAAAATGAATTGTGTAATACGATTAGTAATAATTTTACGGATCTTATCGTTGGTTATCATTACGATTACATTTTCTATTCTCACGTCAATATTTATTTACTATACAGAAGTATAAATAGAACTGAAATTTCGCCAGCATATTCTAACAGGTCAATTAAAAAGTCCCCGGCCTAAANACTTGCTCGCACGAAATTTGATTCCTTACAGCTGCTATATTAAGATTAAATTCCGCTAGTCCCCAAGCAGAAATTTCCTTTAAAACACGTTCGCTATGTTGCTTACTGCTTCTACGCGATAATTCCATAAGGGAAGTTGTTTTTAAATGTGATCGTGAAATTACGTTTTACAAACTAATTCTGAATAACTCATTTTACTATCGTACTTTGTAGCAACAATTTTGCTTCGGTTATTTAATTTAACGTTGTTCTTGTGAATCCTGTAATTTACATAATAGCTGTGAGCTATTTTAACAATCGCAAAATCACATATCTACAGTAAAGTAAAAGTTGAGAACGAATAACAACAGAATCCTCTAGAATCACCCTTGACTACATTTAATAAAACATGTTAAACTGAGACTATTAAAAATACACATAAAATAATGCGTAAGAATTAAGAAGAAGTTTACTAGCATGAAATATTTCTTGCATCTAGAGGGATTTAGACAAAGTTTGAGGTCGGAACGACTAGTTATAAAAGTTAAATGACTTTCATAAGTGACGTATTGCTTTCTCCAAGCTGTTCCTGGCTTAAAGCTTAAGCGTAAGAACACTTCCTAAACTTTAAAGTTCGCGACAGTTCTGAACAGCAACTGATTCTCATTGCTTAATCTGTTTAAAATCTAATAATTCTTTGTATTCAGTCTGCATTTTTGTGAGAAAATTAGTATGGAAGCCTGGCATTTTGTAACAGCCAACGTCAATTGTTAGAAGCACAATTTCTAAGAAACCAGCTACAAATCGCACTTATGCTGATGCAGGAATAATTATTTTGTGTGTAGGAGTGTTTGTTTGGGATAATTATCGATCATTGGGAATTACCATTCTAGAAATAGCCTGAAGAATGACCAAACGAAAACCATCCTTTTGGTAAATGAATTTCAATTCAAATGTACCCGAGAGACATTACACCACACTTAACGAACATTTCTAAATTGAAAGTTTGCTACGTTGGCTTCGGTTTCCGTAACGGCGCTTATTAACGTTATCCACACCCCAACACCTTCCCCTCACTAAAATGACGCAATACTCGCCTCGTGCCTTGTTTACGTAGCTATCTTTAGTCGCGTTAAACTGCCTTGTAACGTCTTGTAATTACATATACCTGTGTGTTGTTAGATAGACATCCCTCTAACAAGTTCATCCACGAACTAATGTCGTTATAAGAACTGCTTAAGCGACGTGCAAGAAACTGACGGAAAACATCACATTAAACCTTAACACTCAGGCGAAACGTATATGCATAAAAACACACGTATTAGGTGTTCTGTAATATGTACCTACGATATATGCGATTACAAGGAAAATTTACACTTTGTAAAATAGTTTGTAGAGTAATTAATTTCAAACTAAATCTTATGCGCATAGTAACATCATTATTTCTTACTTGAAGGATATCTGATAAGTACCGACAAGTTTTACACTTTAAGATTAAGTATTTTAATTAAATCTCTGTCGGACTCTGCTTGATTTTTTGGAGCAAAGGATTAAGGCTCTTTCGACAAGACGACTGGCGGCTTTAAAATCCGGATAGAAACAACAGCGCGAAATCAAGCGCTTTTCTTCTACTTCAATTCAAATCATTAACACATGACGTTCGCTTCGGCATATCGTTATAACAACCCCATAATAATAGGGCGAAAGAATTGATCAATTTTTCCAACTATTCGCACAGGACCGGTCTTTTATCCTGTCGTCGACAGATCCTACGGTCATATCAGCGGTTTTGAGGTGGAGCAATAGTCAGACGAAGCGAATGAAGATTAAATTTTAACTGGTAACTCGAAACAGACCACGTGCACTACGCGCGTCAATTAATTAAAGCATTATAATTCCCATTGTTCCTCTTAATTGCGCGATCGTTAGCAAGGAAACGTCGAGTGGAGTTAACAGGGCGGCTGCTCCCCGCTTTCCGTCACTGAATTCGATAACAAGATGGATGGAAAGCTGCTCGAAATTGTTTTCAAAATTTAAATGAAAAACAACGAACACGAATGAAAAGACTACAACTGGCCGTACAAGCAAAGCATTTACGATTGAAATTTATTAAATGGCTTTCTAAAACATAATGTTTAATACAACACAAATCGTTTAACCTATGAAATTTTTAACCATCTAACCAATATACTCGTTTATAAGCTAGGATGCAAAATAAAGATGTTTATTAAAAATTTTCAATATTACACCGAATTCATTTCTGAATTTCGTTGTTATGTAAAGTTCGTTAGCTTATTTTCGTTTCCCATCTGCGCTGTAGTACAGAGATCAAAGCGTTCGGCAGCAACGGTCTCACTGAGACGAGCTGTAAACGGATTCCTTCTCCGTTCCCAGTCAAACGGAGTCGTCAAGGATAATGGCGAAGAGGACCATTTATTTAATCTAATTTAATTGACAGTCGCAAAGCAATTAAAAAAGGGTACGATCTGTCGTGGGGTGAACGGGAGAGACATTGAATGCAGATTGGATTCAGATTTCGGAAGAAGATTCATGAATGCTGCATGTATCACCACCATCGCAGATGTGCTTCAGTGTAGTACCTATAGTTGATCTACTTATTGCTATTGAAGAAGATTTTTCTGAAACACTTTCCATACTTGGAAAAGGACAGGCAATTTTGAAATCACGACTATGCCAAGTCAATGGTAAAAAAGGCCCTACAGTTATTATTATAAATTTAATCTGCCTGAAGAAAGCGTTGTAATAAATCGGTTACTTATATATTTTTATCTACATTTACCGTTTCGTACGTTTCAAAGAACACAATTACAGAAATCCTACCTTCGGTAATTTTCTCTGAAATTCGATCAACAGCGGCTGCTGTTCAGAAACTATCCTTGTTAATATTCTAACTAATGTATGAACTACATCAAGATTGGTTGGTTAGGATACGTTTGTGAGCTAATTATTTATTAAACCCGCGTAACAAGATTTCGTATCAGTCGAATTCAGGAAATACCTTTAAGTACATTTTTCTTTGCCGGTATAGCCCAACTGTAACCTTTCATTTTATCCATTTGACGTCATGAATGTTTAAAATTCCTTGATTAGAAACGAGGCCCCTGATCGAGAATTCCGTTGACCTTTTCCAAATTTTATCGACAACAAGTCCTCAATAATTTAATCAGAAACCAAATTACATGTTACTGGAAATGTGTACGTATATCATGAAATTTAATTATTGTATCCCTGAGAATACGCACGATAATTTTGTTTCTTTAAGCAAATTAATTATGGTACACCTACACATGTCGTGTTGGTAAATATTCAAATTTACATGTAAGGCAAAGTTTACAGCTAAGCGGACCACATGTACTGTATGTTTATTTTTTTTTTTTGTTTTGAATTTTCTCAGCTACGCAGATGGAGCTTGAATTAAGTTCATTGGTAGCTTTACGTAATGTTCGTTCGCTGCTACTGATTAATACTTTTATGGTATTAAAAAAGGTTGATTTTTGTACTTCTAATAAATAAAATAAAGAATAACGTTAATAATAGGTACCTAGTAGCAAACAGAATTGAACAACTTACCATTATCGAGAGGATTTTTCTGTAATCTGTAACGACGTTCGCATGTTTCTTTCATGACCGGTAATGATAACCTTCCCCTCTAGGTCAACTCTGTAACAACACAAAATTGCGTTGGCTAAAAATTGATAAGTTTCTAAAAGTAAATAAAGTTACAGTTGAAATGCTACTATTTGTTTTTAGACTTTAATTCAATTGAATATTTTCTATGAATAGTTCGTTTTTAAATCGAAAATTTTTATTAATACGCTTGTTCATCTATTGTTAACTTCCTGTTTTAACTTTTCTCGCATAAGTACGTACAACCGATCGAGTGTAGAAAGTTCCTGATTTTTCTTTAAAGCATATGTACATAGTCTTAAATTTGTCACTACTCCAGTACTAAAGAAACGCATTTACCCCGTCCATTATTCATTACTCCTAAGCTTAGTTCATTTCCTCTCTGATGATGAATCTTTTCTCTCACGTAAAGTTCGCGTTCTACAGTGACACCAATACTCCTGCAATTTTCCGGGATACTATCAGGGAGGTACCTGTGCTTTTACAATCAACCTTGTATTGTAAATATGCTATAATATACAATTTTTTCCTCTAAAATATGATCTCCAGGGAAATGCTCTTTCAAATCAGTTCGTGAAAATTTTTAATTGAAAACCATCGAATGTGCATAAGCCAGTTGAATAAGATTTTAGTAGTACATAAATCGGAATTTGTTTATTTAAAATTGGATACTTATAAGAAGTGGTCAAGTCCATATTGTTATACAATCGGGTATTGATGAAAAATAAATCCGTACTTGCAGCGCGTCCTTCGGGAAAATGTTGGAAGCTGAGGTACGACGGAAAACGGATACGGAAGCTACAGAATCGCATTGCTGGGAAATTTATACAGATGGCGCTGATAGGAAGGAAGTAGATTTAATCGATATTTGTCTCAGGGAAACAGAGCGTAACCGTAACCTACCAACCCCCTTGTTGGGAATTGTATCGTATATCCTATGCCCTCTTTCCGCGTGTAAAATGCTTATATAAAACATCCTCCCTCATTATTTCTTTATGAAAACTGAAGAAAAAATCCAGAAACTTTACGTCTTTGCCGAGCAAGACATTCTAAAATGTATCCTAAAAGGATGACACCTCTCCTCTCCTGTTGCTTATATGTATGTATTGTACATGACATACGTATTATCACACTCATTATAAATGCATTATAAAAATTAATATATAATCCACTATAGTACAATTCTAGTTCTGTAATACAATTTTCACGATAATACACAGTTCGTTTTATAATTATCCTTGCAATTGATGGCCTATACAAGTATATACAATCTAACACTTTATTGAAATTTAGTTAAGAAAACCAACAAAACAAAAGTTGAACTTGAAAATACTTATGTTAAGTAATACAATTTTTAAGTGCTGAAATAAAAATTAACAGTGGAATTCTGGTCCTGTTTTGTTAAGTAAATATCTTTAAATTGCAACAATAGATAATAGGTACTGTTACGATATTGACATAAAATGAAAATGGAAATTTATATTCATTAATTAATTAAGAACTCAACATTTCTACAAATCAGAAAAGAAAAAGAAAACCGAAGCAATACCCATTTCCTCTTTAATACCTCTAAAAGGGTCCTACTAAGATTTTCATTTTAAAATTTCAAGTTTGCCGAGTCGTTTCTTACAAAGAACTAGGTTTAGCTTTTTCCTCCTTTCCAATAAACTTTTCAATGTTATACAATGCTATAAAATCAATTCCACCCTCTTCCATGCTGGCTTTACCGATAATCTGTAATTGGATAGCAACCTTGTTAGCTAATTGCTAAGATCGATAAGTATGCTACAGAAAAAAGTGAAAACATGGAAAACTGAGTAGCTCAGGAAGAGAGGTAGTTAACGATGCCTCTGGGATATCAAAATAATCTACCTTCGCTTGCTTGTGTAGGTAAGTATAGCAAACGCCTTCATAAAAGTAGGTCGTCCTTTTTTATATTTTTTCCTCGTAAGAGCAAAATGGAACAGGACTTCCGAAAGGGAATTACCTTAGGTGGTAAATGTTTGTCACTAGACCTTAACTTAATGTTATGTACATAATACATATACCTATACCTACACTTTCCCTGCAATAGCTACAGTATTTATAGACACAATACAACTTCGTAAGAATTTCACGGGTTTCCAGAAAATGACTGTCCCAATATTTCAGCTTAACAGCCATAAATGTCATGATCCTTATCAACTTTGGTACGGAGAATTTCAGAAATTACGTTTAAAAGACTTGGAGGAGTGGTAATTTTTATACCTAATGTAAAAATCCCACGGAGTTTAAGGAACCCACGCACATTTCTACACGTAATAGAGATTACAAAAAATGCCTCTAAGTATTAGGCAACACTGATGATAATTCCCTTTTAAACCGTCATTTGTATTCTCCACTTGTAGGAAGATTAGAGGAGGAACACAAAATAACTGCCCTCAGAAGGTATTTGCATATATTGATCTGAAAATGTTTAAGATTTCTCCGACTAAAAACCGCTGCGCCGCTTAGGCATGCAAATACGTATGTACGATGATATTAAACGTTTATTATACGTAGACGGATACATTATTTATTTGATTCGGAACATATATATATAATTGATTTTTCGTTTAGGGTACTTATAATATAAATAAGAAGAATAATAAATAAGAATTTATACTTACGTCTTTGATCACCTTCGGGCTTTTATCTAACGAATTACACAATATGAAACGGGAAANAACGAATTTTATATTAAACGCGAAATAACGACGGAATCGTACCGCAAAGTGGCGCCTACATTCGGTAAATTATAAAAACGTCACAATTTAGGGGCCGGTTTGGCTCCTACAGGAATAGAACTTGGAATTTCTGGACACACCGTCTTATGCATCAAGGACTGCTCTTTCGGATAGATAAAACGAATTTTATATTAAACGCGAATTAACGTAGAAATCGCACCCCAAATTGGAGCGTACTTTCGGTAAAGTATAAAAAGGTCACACTTTAGGGGCCGGTTTGGCTCCTACAGTAATACAATTTCGAATTTCTGGACACACCGTCTTATGCATCAAGGACTGCTCTTTCTGATAGATATAACGAATTTTATATTAAACGCGAAATAACGACGGAATCGTACCGCAAAGTGGCGCCTACTTTTGGAAAATTATAAAAACGTCACACTTTAGGGGCCGGTTTGGCTCCTACAGGAATACAATCTGGAATTTCTGGACACACCATCTTATGCATCAAGGACTGCTCTTTCCGATAGATAAAACGAATTTTATGTTAAACGCGAAATAACGACGGAATCGTACCGTAAATTGGCGCCTACTTTCGGTAAATTATAAAAACGTCACATTTTAGGGGCCGGTTTGGCTCCTACAGGAATACTATCTGGAATTTCTGGACACACCGTCTAATGCATCGAGGACTGCTCTTTCTGATAGATAAAACGAATTTTATATTAAACGCGAATTAACGTCGGAATCTTACCCCAAAGTGGCGCCTACTTTCGGTAAATTGTAAAAACGTCACACTTTAGGGGCCTGTTTGGCTCCTACAGGAATAAAACTTGGAATTTCTGGACACACCGTCTTATGCGCCAAGGACTGCTCTTTCTGATAGATAATACGAATTTTATATTAAACGCGAATTAACGTAGAAATCGCACCCCAAATTGGAGCCTACTTTCGGTAAAGTATAAAAACGTCACTTTTTGGGGGCCTGCTTGACTCCTACAGGAATACAATTTCGAATTTCTGGACACACCGTCTTATGCATAAAGGACTGCTCTTTCCGATAGATAAAACGAATATTATATTAAACGCGAATTAACGTAGAAATCGCACCCCAAATTGGAGCCTACTTTTGGTAAAGTATAAAAACGTCACATTTTAGGAGCCGGTTTGACTCCTACAGGAATACAATTTGGAATTTCTGGACACACCGTCTTATGCGCCAAGGACTGCTCTTTCTGATAGATAAACCGAATTTTATATTAAACGCGAATTAACGTAAGAATTGCACCCCAAATTGGAGCCTGTTTTCGGTAAAGTATAAAAACGTCACAATTTAGGTGCCGGTTTGGCTCCTACAGGAATACTATCTGGAATTTCTGGACACACCGTCTTATGCACCAAGGACTGCTCTTTCTGATAGATAAAACGAATTTTATATTAAACGCGAATTAACGTAAGAATTGCACCCCAAATTGGAGCCTGTTTTCGGTAAAGTATAAAAACGTCACAATTTAGGTGCCGGTTTGGCTCCTACAGGAATACTATCTGGAATTTCTGGACACACCGTCTTATGCATCAAGGACTGCTCTTTCTGATAGATAAAACGAATTTTATATTAAACGCGAAATAACGACGGAATCGTACCGTAAATTGGCGCCTACTTTCGGTAAATTATAAAAACGTCACATTTTAGGGGCCGGTTTGGCTCCTACAGGAATACTATCTGGAATTTCTGGACACACCGTCTTATGCACCAAGGACTGCTCTTTCTGATAGATAAAACGAATTTTATATTAAACGCGAAATAACGACGGAATCGTACCGTAAATTGGCGCCTACTTTCGGTAAATTATAAAAACGTCACATTTTAGGGGCCGGTTTGGCTCCTACAGGAATACAATTTGGAATTTCTGGACACACCGTCTTATGCGCCAAGGACTGCTCTTTCTGATAGATAAAACGAATTTTATATTAAACGCGAAATAACGACGGAATCGTACCGTAAATTGGCGCCTACTTTCGGTAAAGTATAAAAACGTCACATTTTAGGGGCCGGTTTGGCTCCTACAGGAATACAATTTGGAATTTCTGGACACACCGTCTTATGCACCAAGGACTGCTCTTTCTGATAGATAAAACGAATTTTATATTAAACGCGAAATAACGACGGAATCGTACCGTAAATTGGCGCCTACTTTCGGTAAATTATAAAAACGTCACATTTTAGGGGCCGGTTTGGCTCCTACAGGAATACAATTTGGAATTTCTGGACACACCGTCTTATGCACCAAGGACTGCTCTTTCTGATAGATAAAACGAATTTTATA